CAGCAGGGCCAGGACAGGATGAGATTGGGGTTTGAAAATCCTCTCTGGGGCTGTGTGAAGAATGGACCGGAAGGGGCAAGCACAGGTGTGGGGAGACCAGAGAGGAGGCTGCTGCTGAGCTCCAGATGGGAGAAGCTGGTGACCGGGACTCAGGTGGTGTGACAGCAATGAGGATAAGATGGTGGGATTGACAGGTCTCGGGGATGGGTGGAAGGGAGGGAATGAGGAAGAGGAAAGTATCAAGGGGGAACTTGCAGGAAATCAGCCTGAGCAACTGCATGGATTACAGAGCCATTAGTGATTAGGAAACACTAGGAGAGGAGCCGCAGATTTGTGAGAGGGTTGGGAGGGGGTGGAGTTCAATTCGAAACATGTCAGGTTTGATACACCTTGGATACGTTTAAGTGTAAATCCAAAGTGGGCAATCGGGGCTATGTGGTTGCGAAGGTCAGAGGTGGAGTCTGAAGTAAAGGCATAAATGTAGACGCCGTTAGTATAGAGATCGCAATCAAAACTGGAATAGTGGATGAGATCTCTGTTCCAGGAAAAGATAGGAAGAGAACGTAGCTTGAGAAAAGAAGGGGCTTATGATGCGGCCTTCCAGAAACCCCAACATCTATAGGTGGAGGGGCAGGCAAGGGAGTTGAGAAATGGCAGGCGGGAGTGAGAGAAAACGCAGGAGGATGTGGTGTTAAGTTATTGTGGAAACTGACCCAAAAGTTCTCCAGCAGGAAGGAAAGGTCAGCTAGGTCAGAGGATGCTAAGGGATTAAATAAACAAGACTGAAGAAGCCCTGTGGAGTTGGCAATGGACAGGTCCTGAGTAATCTTTGAGCCGATTCAGTAGAAGGGTAGACATGAAAGCCTATTCGGAGTAGGTTGAGGTGAAAAATAAGAAGTGGAGAGAGTGAGTTTAGACACTCTTTCAAGACGTTTGGCTGGAGTGCGGAGGAGAGAGAGAGCTGAAGATCAGGACGCAATCACCAGACGGAGGGCTTTTTAGTTAGGGGAACAATGCAGGAAAGGAGAGAGTTCGCACCGTTCTGAGACTGCAGGAGGGAATGCCATCTGAGGCACATGTGAAAAAATGGGCCTTAGTTTAAGAAACATCTATGCCTGTGGCTCTTAGCCTGCTGTCTAAAATTGTCTGCCTATAGCCAGGGGAGATGGTCTCCAGCAGCCCCAGCTTCCTGGATTTCTAGTTTAACAGCCCCAGCAGAACGAGGATTTCCTCTACTAGTATCCTTAAATCAATCTTGAGGAAGACTGTGTCTCCAGCCTATGTCATGCGTCATTAGGTGGCTCCTGGGGCGCACTAGACAGGTAGAAGACAGCACAGAGCACAAAGTCCCTGTAGGGGAGGACAAGCTGCCCATACAGACCTCACCTACATGACAGCTGTTATCCAGAGCTGGTCCTGACTTTTATGAAAGGCAGGGGAGCAAGAAGTTCCCTCTTTCTACACATCCCACCCTGCTTACTAGTGGCTTGTACATAATACAGTGTAGCAACTTGCATATCTGTATAGACTACTTTGAAATATGTATTATAGGTTCTTTTATAGACTAGAGGTTTGTTTCTTTTCTTCTTCCCTTATCACTATTACTTTTTCTTGTCTTAGTCACATTATAACTGGACTTCTCTATATACAATTCCTAGTACATTGTCTAAATGCTTTTTGATTGATTGCTTGATTGACTAAATCACTGCCACTTTTCTAATTTCTTAAGGAACATTTCACACAACCCCCATTCCACTTTAAAATAGAATTAGAGAATTTAGAGAATAATGCAGTCAGGTCAAAAACTACCCCATGTTACGATAATATGACAGCCTTTGGAGGGCAGTTTGATACTATACATCAAAATCTTCACGGTAAGAAGTCACTTCTTTGCCTGAAGAGGTCCAGTAATAGTGAAATGGCTGAGTAAATTATAGAATAACAACTCAATGGAATATCACATAGTTATTAGAATGACATATGATAACATAGAAAAAAAGATAGTAAATAGCATTTTAAAAATCTAAAGTAAGAAATATAAATATGCTATAAAGTACATAAAATACGCATACCAAAGGATTAAGATTGGAGTTTAACACAGATAAACGAACACAGTTCTTAGAATGCTGGACTTACAAACGAATGCTAAATGTACTTATCTACAAGGGCTCTGAAGATCACATAATTCAATATAAAACATGTGATACATGGCCAAGCACAAGGTACATTTCAGCTGTTACCTCAGCTGCCACATTACCATTGATAAGTATCCACCAGCATTGTAACAAGGCACTTGACAAACATTTCATTTGAGTCTCATGACAACCATAGAAGTGTTATTATCTCTATTTTACACATAGGAAAAGTGAGGGCCAGAATGGTTAAGTGAATCGGGTCACATAGTTAATACATGAAAGAGCTAAGATTTGGTCCATTTTTCAAAACATGCACACCTAACCCCCATCCCAGGTGGTTTTAATGCATAGTAGGAATGAAAACTATTATACACACTGAGTACAAGGAGGAAGAAGATGGAGATTCTCAGCAGTCAGGAGAGAGTGCCACACAGAGCAGGGGTTATAGCAG